GCAGCTTCAAAGCCTGGCTGGTTGCTGCCTGGGGGAATCCTTTGTTGGGAGGTGTTAGCTGGTCCTGGTTATTTCATGTCTAAAATCCCCCTGTTGTTTGATTGTTCCTCTTTTAGAGTCCTGATTTTAGAGTTTTTAAATACTGGTAGCCAGATTTTGTTCATTTTCATGGTTTCCTCCTTTCTGCTGAAATTGTCCAGCTTTGAAGCTGCAAGGCCATTAAATGCATACAAGAGTTTTTTCTCCCACCCTGGACATTCTACAGATATATATACACCTCACTTGCCTAGTTTCCAACAGACCTTTGAGGATGCCTGCCATAGATGTGGGGGAAACGTTAGGACATAATGATTTTGGAACATGGCTATACAGCCAGGAAAACTCACAGCAACCCAATGATTCTGGTCATGAAAGCCTTTACAACATATGGAACCAAGCATTTGGAGAGTAGTACAGGGCAAGATGCAGCTATGAAATGAATGGAATATAATGTAATTGGAATGGCTTCTGGATTATTTTTGGTCTATGTGTAATATTTTAACAGCTTATTTACGTATCTATAAAGGTAAAGATAAAGGTTTCCCCTGACATTAAGTTTAGTCGTGTCTGACTCAGGGAGGAGGAGTTATGCTCATCTCAATATTGAAGCCGAAGAGCCTGCGTTGTCCGTAGACACCTCCAAGGTCATGTGGCCAGCAGGACTGCATGGAGTGCCGTTACCTTACCCCAAAATCAGTACCTATTGATCTACTCACATTTGCATGTTTTCGAACTGCTAGGTTGTCAAAAACTGGGCCTAACAGCAGGAGCTCACTCTGCTCTTCAGATTAGAACTGCCAACCTTTCGGTCAGCTAATTCAGCAGCTCACTGGTTTAACCTGCTATGCCACCAGGGGGCCCTAGGTATTTATATGTTAGTGTTTCATGATTTTCATGATTTAATGCACAATGTATATTGCATTTTGTTTGCGTTAAGTTAATGTGGCATTGAATTATTGCCAATTTGGAAGCTGCTCTTGAGTCCCCTTCGGGGTTGAGACAGAGTGGGGTAAAAATACTGTAAATAAATTATTATTATTATTATTATTATTATTATTATTATTATTATACACTATGGGTGGCCCCAGGCTGTTAGGAATTGTGGAAATTGTAGTCCAAAACACCTGGAAAGCTAAAGTTTGCTCATGCCTACTCCAAACTGTGGATTGAATGCAGTTTGACTACATTGGGACTCACACTGCAGTCTGACACCACATTAACCGCCACAGCTCAACTGCTATGGCATTCTGGACTCATGGTTTTATTTATTTATTTATTTATTTGCAATATTTCTACCCCGCTTTTCTCGAAGCCAAAGGTGACTCAAGGCAGCTTTGCAACATAGGCAGCTATCCAATGCCATTAAAACAATGTAAAATTACGATAAACATTTAAAACAGAATGATAAAATACATACATTAAAACCTTTAAAAACATATAAAACCACTACCTTCACTATTAACCTCATCGTCTACAAACATTGTCTAAGCCGTTTCAGTATTCTATTTCACATAGTTCCATGTTTATCTATTGCACTAGGCTCCCAAAGGCTTGTTCAAAAAGCCATGTTTTCACTTTTCTGTGGAAGGTCAGGTAGGAAGGGGCTGATCTAATATCCCTAGGGAGTGAGTTCCACTGCTGAGGGGCCACCACTTAGAAGGCCATGTCTCTCATCCCTGCCAGTTGTGCCTGCAAAGAAGGTGGGACTGAGAGCAGGGCCTCCCCAGATGATCTTAAACTCCTAGATGGTTCATAGGGAGAAAAACGTTCGGACAGGTAAGCTGGTCCAGAACTGTTTAGGGCTTTATAGACTAAAGCCAGCACCTTGAATTGTGCTCAGTGGCAAACCAGCAGCCAGGGGAGCTGGCGCAACAAGTGAGTTGTATGCTCCTTGAAAGCCGCTCCAGTGAGTGATCTGGCTGCCGCCCGTTGGACCATTTGAAGCTTCCGAACAGTCTTCAAAGGCAACCCCACATACAGTGTGTTGCAGTAGTCTATACAGGGATGTAACCAGAGCATGGACTACCATGGCCAAGTCAAGGTAAGGGCACAAGGTTTAATTGTGCGAATTCTCCTCTGGTCACTGCCGAGTTTTGTGAGGATATTCACCCTTCTCTCTCAGGAAGCTCTAGTGCAGTGGTTCTCAACCTGTGGGTCCTCAGGTGTTTTGGCCTACAACTTCCAGAAATCCTAGCCAGTTTATCAGCTGTTAGGATTTCTGGGAGTTGAAGGCCAAAACATCTGGGTGTGATAGTATGATAGCTGGGTCCGGAAGCTCCAAGCATTGCGGAGATGCCGCAAAGGCAGCTGCGAATAAGGGAAGGGGGGGGGCAAAGTGAGAGCGGGGAGAGCAAAAGGAAGGATAGAAAGGAGGGGATGCTTAGGGTAAGGGCCAGGGCAAGGTTTAGGGTTTGGGTTAGTGTAAGGGTTATGGGTTAGGGTACAGTTTAGGGTAGAGTTAGGATAAGGTTTAGGGTTTGGGTTAGGGTAAGGGGTTACAGTTAGGGTACAGTTTAGGGTTAGGGTAAGGTTTAGGGTTTGGGTTAGAGTAAGGGTTAAGGGTTACAGTTAGGGTACTGTTTAGAGTTACAGTAAGGGTTAGGGTAAGGGTAAGAGTTTGGGTAAGGGTTAGGCTTATGGTATGATTCAGGATAAGGGTTAGGGGTTCACCATTAAAGAACTCTTACATTCTTTCTATATTATCTGTCTCCAGCCTGGCTTACATTACCTAAGTCTCTCTTGCACAAACAGTGCTCTCGAAGAAGCGATGCGGCATCTCCGTAACACTCGGAGCTTCCGGACCCAGCTATTTATTTATTTATTTAATATACTTGTACCCTGCCCTTCTCACCCCCAAGAGGGGACTCAGGTGGCCTCACAGCAATACCATTCGGTGCCATCATAATGATAAGAACAATCAACAAATTCATTAAAACAAAACATTAAATAAGCAGTTGTTAAAACATGCCATTTAAAATCACTTCGAAATTGCTTATGTCTGCTTATGTCTTCTTCATACAAGCCGCTATTCAATGATCAAATGCAAGGTCCCACAGACAAGTCTTGAGTTTCCTTCTAAAGGACAGGAGGGAGGTGGCCAGTCTGTTGTCTTTGGGGAGGGAATGCCACAGACCCCCGTTGAGAAGACCACTGTTGAGAAGGCCCTGTCTTTCGTCTCCACCAATCGCGTTTGCGATGGCAGTGGGATCTAGAGCAGTGCCTCTTGGGATGATCTTAATTTCGTGATGATTCATAGTAGGAGGCACGTTCACACATGTAGTCGGGACCAGAACCGTTTAGAGCTTTAAAGGTTAAAACCAGCACTCTGAATTGTGCTCGGTAGCAGATCAGCAACCAGTGGAGCTGCCGTAACAGAGGAGTTGTATGCTCCCTGTAAGCCACTCCAGTGAGCAACCTGGCTGCTGACCGCTGGATAGAATCATAGAATCCTAGAGTTGGAAGAGACCTCATGGGCCATCCAGTCCAACCCCCTGCCTAGAAGCAGGAATATTGCATTCAAAGCACCTCTGACAGATGGCCATCCAGCCTCTGTTTAAAAGCCTCCAAAGAAGGAGCCTCCACCACACTCCGGGGCAGAGAGTTCCACTAATTGGACTAATAGAATCATAGAGTTGGAACAGACCTCATGGGCCACCCAGTCCAACCCCCTGCCTAGAAGCAGGAATACTGCATTCAAAGCACCCCTGTCAGATGGCCATCCAGCTTCTGCTCAAAAGCTTCCAAAGAGGGAGCCTCCACCACACTTTGGGGCAGAGAGTTCCACTAATTGGACTAATAGAATCATAGAGTTGGAAGAGACCTCATGGGCCACCCAGTCCAACCCCCTGCCTAGAAGCAGGAATATTGCATTCAAAGCACCTCTGACAGATGGCCATCCAGCCTCTGCTTAAAAGCTTCCAAAGAAGGAGCCTCCACCACACTCCAGGGCAGAGTTCCACTAATTGGACTAACTGAAGCTTCTGGGCAGTCTTCAAAGCCAGTCCCACGTAGAGCACATTGTGGAAGTGGTGTTGGAGGAAAGTTCTGAGAGTGCCTTGGACTGCGAGAAGATCCAACCAGTCCATCCTCCAGGAAATAAAGCCTGGCTGCTCACTGGAGGGAAGGATACTAGAGACAAAGTTGAAGTACTTTGGCCACATCATGAGGAGACAGCAAAGCCTAGAGAAGACAATTATGCTGGGGAAAGTGGAAGGCAAAAGGAAGAGGGGCCGACCAAGGGCAAGATGGATGGATGGCATCCTTGAAGTGACTGGACTGACCTTGAAGGAGCTGGGGGTGGTGACGGCTGACAGGGAGCTCTGGAGTGGACTGGTCCATGGGGTCACGAAGAGTCGGAGACGACTGAACGAATGAACAACAATTGGGATGTAACATAGTATTACCCATCTGAGGACCCACAGGTTGAGAACCACTGCTCTAGTGCCTCACCAAAACTACAATTTCCAGGATTCCACAGCTGATGTGGTGTCAGACCACTATTATTGATTATTTATTGGGAATAGTCTCCAAAAAAAGTGCCCCTTTAGTAGTTAACAAGTCAAGAGCTACCAAATGGTGGAAGCTGTAGTTTTTTTAACAAAGCATTCACAGCCTCCCCTTTCCCCCAAAGGAGTGCAGTTGCCCTACTACTGCATTGAGTGCAGGGTCCCTCCTCAAGTGAGTGAGTGAGAGAGCGAGCAGGCAAAACAGCCTGACGTCACCGAGCCCCTCGCCCCGCCCCGCCCAACTCCATATTAGGCAACGTTCCAACCGTCACGCGCCGATGGGCGCGAGGAGGGCTGGAGAGGGACGGTTGGGCGCGCGCGCGCGGTGGGATTGGGGCAGATGGCGCTCGCGACCGCCTGCCCCAATCCCACCGCGCGCGCGCGCCCAACCGTCCCTCTCCAGCCCTCCTCGCGCTGTTCCCCTTCCCTTCCCTCTCCAGCCCAGCCCCTCATTACCTCAACCACCAGCCGGGAATACTCCTTCCGCATGAGTCCGGCTTGGCCGCTGCTCCGCCTATCCATTCACCTCAACACACTTCACTCTGCGCTTGGCGAGACCCAGGAGGAGGAGGAGGGATTGGGGAAAGGGAGTGGGCGGGGCTCCACAAAGTGTGGGAGCGTACTGATTGGTCGAAAGCCCCACGCTGCTGAGGAGGCTGTGTTTCTCTGCCCGCCTTGCGCAACCGAGCCATCCCATTGGCTGAAAAGGAGATGGGGAGGGGGGGAGAAGAAAGAAAAAAAGAAACACATATACAAAGCGAGGCGATGATTGACGGCTAGGAAGGCGCTACGCCCCGCCCGCGTGTAGAGTCACGTGACGCCAGGTGGAGGCCGCCTTAGCGACAGTGTGTTTGTATGGGTGGGAAAGGATCTTAGGTGTCTCTACAAACTTGGGCCCTCCAGGTGTTTTGGGCTTCAAATCCCACCATTCCTAACAGCCTCAGGCTATAGACCAGACATGGGACAACTTGGGCCCTCCTTCCATGTTTTTTGGACTTCAACTCCCACCATTCATAACAGTCTCAGGCTCAGACCAGGCATGGACAAACCTCGACCCTCCTGCCAGGTGTTTTGGACTTCAACTCCCACTATTCCTAACAGCCTCGGGGACAGACCAGACATGGGACAAATCCCACCATTCCTAACAGTCTCAGACATGGGCAAACCTTGGCCCTCCTTCCAAGTGTTTTGGACTTCAAATCCCACCATTCATAACAGCCTCAGGGACAGACAAACCTCAGCCCTCCTTCCAGGTGTTTTGGACTTCAACTCCCACCATTCCTAACAGCCTCAGGCTACAGACCAGACATGGACAAACCTCGGCTCTCCTTCCAGGAGTTTTGGACTTCAACTCCCACCATTCCTAACAGCCTCAGGCTCAGACCAGGCATGGACAAACCTCGGCCCTCCTTCCAGGTGTTTTGGACTTCAACTCCCACCATTCCTAACAGCCTCAGGCTACAGACCAGACATGGACAAACCTCGGCTCTCCTTCCAGGAGTTTTGGACTTCAACTCCCACCATTCCTAACAGCCTCAGGCTCAGACCAGGCATGGACAAACCTCGGTCCTCCTTTCAGGTGTTTTGGACTTCAACTCCCACCATTCCTAACAGCCTCAGGCTCAGACCAGACATGGACAAACCTTGGCTCTCCTTCCAGGAGTTTTGGACTTCAACTTCCACCATTCCTAACAGCCTCAGGCTCAGACCAGGCATGGACAAACCTCGGTCCTCCTTTCAGGTGTTTTGGACTTCAACTCCCACCATTCCTAACAGCCTCAGGCTCAGACCAGGCATGGACAAACCTCGGTCCTCCTTCCAGGTGTTTTGGACTTCAACTCCCACCATTCCTAACAGCCTCAGGCTACAGACCAGACATGGACAAACCTCGGCTCTCCTTCCAGGAGTTTTGGACTTCAACTCCCACCATTCCTAACAGCCTCAGGCTCAGACCAGGCATGGACAAACCTCGGCCCTCCTTCCAGGTGTTTTGGACTTCAACTCCCACCATTCCTAACAGCCTCAGGCTCAGACCAGGCATGGACAAACCTCGGTCCTCCTTCCAGGTGTTTTGGACTTCAACTCCCACCATTCCTAACAGCCTCAGGGACAGACCAGACATGGGAAAACTTGGGCCCTCCTTCAAGGTGTTTTGGATTTCAACTCCCACCATTCATAACAGCCTCAGGCTCAGACCAGGCATGAGCAAACCTCGGCCCTCCTTCCAGGTGTTTTGGACTTCAACTCCCACTATTCCTAACAGCCTCAGGGACAGACCAGACATGGGACAACTTGGGCCCTCCTTCCATGTTTTTTGGACTTCAACTCCCACCATTCCTAACAGCCTCAGGCTATAGACCAGACATGGGCCAACTTGGGCCCTCCAGGCGTTTTGGACTTCAACTCCCACCATTCATAACAGTCTCAGGCTCAGACCAGGCATGGACAAACCTTGGCCCTCCTTCCAGGTGTTTTGGACTTCAACTCCCACCATTCCTAACAGCCTCAGGCTCAGACCAGGCATGGGCAAACCTCAGCCCTTCTTCCATGTGTATTTGACTTCAACTCCCACTATTCCTAACCGCCTCAGTCCCCTTCCTTTTCCCTCGCAGCCGCTTAAGTCTGAGACTATTAGGAATGGTGGGAGTTGGAGTTCAAAACGCCTGGAAGGCCCATACATGATCTACACTGTTGGATTTATGTGGTTTGATACCACATTAACTGCCATGCTGTGGAGTCTTGGAAGTTGTAGTCTGGTGACTCTTTGGCAGAGAAGGTCTAAACTTGCACTTGTGAAACTACAACTCCCATTATTCCATAGCAGTGAGGCATGGCTGCTAAAGTGGTATCAAACTGCATTATATCTTCACAAATGGAGGGTGAAAGAGAGAAATGTGCCAGTAGGAAGGCGTGTCAAGCCAATGCCCTCACTGTGGGAGAAGATGCAGGTCAAGAATAGGGCTCCACAGCCACCTACGGATCCACAGGAATACAGATCATGGAAGACTATCCTACTCATTCAACGAGGGATTGCCCAAGTAATCTTCACTGTGGATGCCACCTTAGTGGTACATCTTGAGCGTCCCATATCCGAGCAGCAATGTTTATACGTACCTAGACGTGAACATATTTGAACAACAATTATGTAACTTACACACTTTCTCTTGCCAACAAACATCTCTAATTAGATGCAACTCTTAAAATAAAATATCTATGCATAAATTAGTTCCGAAAGGATTTCCTGCTTCCCTTTAGTCTGATGCAAAGAAGCATCTTGATCATCTATCACAAGCATGGGCAACCTTGGGCCATCCAGGTGTTTTGGACTGCAACCCCATCATTCCTAACAGCCTCAGGCCCCTTCCTTTTCCCCTTAAGAGGCCGAGTGGCCTCTTATCTGCTCATACCTTTTTTCTTTTTCTTTCTCTTTCTTCCCTCCTTTTTCTTTCTTCCTCCTTCTTTTCCTTTCCTGTCTTCCTTTCTGTATTTTTCATCATACACATACCACCTAGCAGCAACCAAGCCACTCCACTCCTTCTCTTTCCCAATCTCATCACAGAGGGCCACTTCACCTAGAAACAGCCAATCCCCTTTCATTATTTTTCTTTCGATGGCGTTGAGTCCAAAAGGAATGGTTCTTTTCATTCAACCCCTCAATCATTTTAAGTTAGATAATGAAGGGTATGTGTGCCAAGTTTGGGCCAGATTCATTAAACTATGTAGGAGTCTTTGTGGTACAAACAGGCAAACAAATATACATATGTATACACATACGTTCACTTTGTATATATCGATAAAATTGCCTTCAGGCTATAAGGTGTATAAATACATTTCATGTTTCAATTAGGATCCTATTAAGATTTTTCATTGCATGTGCTTTTCATGTTTCATTGCATTAACAAGATTTTTATTGTGTGTGTGTGTGTATACACACACACACACACATACATACACACTGATTGTACAAATAGAGGTTTTCCAAAATCTTAATTTCAAATAGCTTCTGGTCCCAAGCATTTCTAATAAGAGTTGCTCTGTACCTTTTTCTTTAGCGCACCTCAGGTTTAATTTTCAATAAACCAGCATCTGGCCTGCTTCCTTCTCTTAAAGGATGGACCACCCTGGATACCTGTCATGCCATGATAAAATGAGCAATCTGGGTCTTCCTTGCAGTAATAAATTGGTCTTAATTCTCATTTCATCAGGGTAGTTTATGTCAGATCTGCTTACTGAAAAGTCCAAAAGTGCAGGAGGCTGTGTTGATACGAAACCATTTCGGCCGTTTTAATCCCTGCCAGAAGCAGGGCTTAGGAAAAGCTGCCTCTCCAATACTTTGAATTATAAGAAGGATAACACTCATATCGATAGATCTTTGCTGGGAAAACCCACTTGCCCTCAAATTACAGTGGATATTGCAGCTAAACCGTGAAGAAAGCTGACAGGAAGAGAATTAAACCGATTGAAATGTAGTGCTAGAGGAGAGTTCTGCGGATACCGTGGAGTGACAAGCAGACAACATAGGCTGCATTTATCCCTTGGAATTAATACAGTTTGACACTGCTTTAACTGCTGTGGCGCAATGCTTTGGAGTCCTTATAAAAACCACAATTTCCTAGATTCCATATTACAGTATTGTGCAGGCCTGGGAAACAATGGTGCCAGGAGTAGAATGAGAGATGATAGATCAGGCATGGGCAAACTTGGCCTTCCAAGTGTTTTGGACTTCAATTCCCACCATTGCTAACAGCCTCAGGCCCCTTCATTTCCATTTTCCCTTTCATTTTTCGCTTAAGCAGCTTGGGGGGGGGGGGGGGGGGATGAAAGGTCCATAGGCTGTTAGGAATTATGGGAGCTGAAGTCCAAAACACCTGGAAGGCCGGTTTGCCCAGGTCTGGTATTGAGCCATAGCAGTTACAGTAGTCTATTGCATGAATTTTTCAATGTAGATGCATCATAAACAGCTCCTAGAGCAAGTCAACTTAACCATAGTTAACAAATTGCAACGAAATTCCGCAAGCCTTGGATATACTACACCTTATTTTTGGACTCATCTACAATGCTATATAATGCAGTTTCAAACTGCATTATATAATCAGTGTAGACTCATATAATGCAGTTCAAAAACTGGATTATATGAGTCTACACTAACAATACAATGTAGTTTCAAACTGCATTTTTAATTGTGCCAGAAACGACTTGCAAGTTGCTTCTGGTGTGATAGAATCGGCTGTCTACAGAGATGTTGCCCAGGGGACACTCAAATGTGTTACCATCCTGTGGGAGGCTTCTCTAATGCTCCCACATAGGAAGATGGGGCTGACAGACGGGAGCTCACCCCATCTTGCAAATTTGCACCTCCGACCTTCTGGTCTTCAGGTTAGCATTTCAGCCAGCACAAGGGTTTAACCCATTGTGCCATCGCGACTCCCTGCATTACATGACAGTGTAGTTAGGGCCCAGTGTCCTCATACCATATTTCTTCTATTCTAAGATGCCATTGATTGTTAGACACATAGTAATTTTAGCACCGCTAACAGAATACACACATATAGATATATACCTATTATTCTAAGATGTGCCCATTTTAG